CAGGGTAAAGCTGTCAAGCCAGTGCCAGGCAAGGGGTCAACCTGCATGGTCACAACTGTCCCCTTGGGCTTTCAGACTAACAATTAAATCATTCCCAGTGCTTGCCTCGGCCGCAGTCACCAGCAGCACCACCAGCAGCAGCAGCAATCACATTTACTGGCAGCCTGATTAGATGCCAGCACAGGACAGGTGGAAATGCAAGCCCCTTATCAGAGCCTGCACAAAGCTTCCCTTCAGGGCACCGCAGGAACATCTCAGACTACAGCGGGACTGAAGCAGTCAGCAAATGTCCCATCTCCAGCTTCTAATCTTACTGCATCTTCAGGTTTATTAGCTGCAAATTTGCACTGTTTTGTGGCTTATGGAAGAATTTATAGCACTATATAATTTTTTCTTGCTTCCTGCGTGGAACCACTAATAATCCCTCACAGGCAGAAAGTTGACCTGAGACTCTTTCCCCTCCTCTTCTCCTTTTGGTCTGCCTGAAGATATGAATAGTTCCAGGCTGCATGTTGTCAGCTTCAAATCACCCTGGCAGCTAAAGCCCAAAATAACTGTGCCTTTGATGTCGATTTACTCTTATTTCTAAATAAACAACAGGGTGGGTTAAGATCTTCCAAATACGAAGCTATAGGCTCATTCTAGAAATAACAGCAAAGCAAAGCCAGCCAATTGTGTCTTGGGTAGACCGGGTGACCTTTAGGAGGTTTTCAGTTTAGCTAAGAGAACAGACAAGGCTGTTCCTACAGTGATTCCTGGAGCTGGTAACTTGGAGCCCAACTAAGGAAAGTGATGTTTCTGCAGTCATTTCTCTTGCACAGCATTTCTGAACATCTTGGCTGGGTAATTTTGCTTCCAAAAGCCCCTGATAATGGGGAAAACTCTTCTTTATGCCATGCACATTATTTCTGTTGTTGTGATGATGATGATGATGAGGCTTCCCTATTGCTTTGCCATGGCCATGGCCATGGTGCATTGGCATCCTTCCACCAGGCAATGCTGGCATTGGGTCCACTTTCCCAGGTGTGTCAAAAAGGGCAGAATGCAAAACCCACTCCCAGAGACCCCATATGTAGCATGCAAAGTCTTAGGGCAGACCCCAGAGCTGGGGCAGCTGGCAGCCACGTCGGGGATGGATGTATCCCTGTGAGGGTCCTGAGGCACTGGCACAGGGTGCCCAGAGAAGCTGTGGCTGCCCCATCCCTGGCAGTGTTCAAGGCCAGGTTGGACACAGGGACTTGGAGCAAGCTGCTCTATGGAAGGGGTCCCTGCCCGTGGTAGGGGTTGGAGCTGGAGGAGCTTTAAGGTCCCTCCCAAACCAGGCTGGGGTTCTGTGATTCTATGATCTGTGGAAACAGCTCCATAACATCCCCAGCCCCATGGTGGAGGCTGGAAGCTGCTTCTGGGTCATTGCTGGAACCAGAGCCCAAGTTCTAGGAATGAAGGAGAAGGGTGAGGAAAGCCACAGCTGTGTCCTGGTCTGGGTCTGAGCTTCAGGGGCAGCTGCCCCACTGCAGGGAGGAGATGACACCATCTCAGGACCCATCTCAGGCAGTGGCTTCTCCCAACCTCCTCCAACCAGATCACACACACACACCCCCGGTACCTGCAGGGCTTGGCACAGGGCAGTGCTGGAGGCAAGTCAGGGCTGTGGATCAAGAGCAGTTGGCTGCAAGCATCACTCAAGGGAGCTGCAACAACCACAGCTGGGTTTGCTCCCTGGGAGAGAGGCTCACCTTACCGAAACCCAGGAAGCACGGGCAGGAGCCAGCACAGGCACATCGTCTCCAGTGAGCAGACCAGGGTCGCTGGCAGCCAGGCTGGAGCAGAATGACTACACCTGGTTGCATTTCCACTTTCCAACAAGCCCAGTCTATGCCAGCATTCCAAGATGGCTTTTGTACCCAGAGGGAGCTGCTGAACACAGTGCTCTTTGTGTCTGTCAAGCACAGGGGGAAGGGAGGCACAGAGATGCTGCCAGGGCTGGGAAAGGTGTGTCTTCACTCAGGAAACACCGGTCCTGTACCTACTTGCACACACATGGAGGCACAAACACAATGTTCATCTGCTGATGAAAGAGCAGCCTGCCTGGAAGAGACCACGGGCTGGAAAGGAAACGCAGGTTTAGAGAGAGACAGGAGCAAATATTGCAGCACACGGAAACATTCCCTGTAAATAACAGCGCTTCCAGATCTCAGGTCCCTGTTTCTGGTGGTGAATCACAGCGGAGCCAAGCCCCCTCTCTTGGGCAATACTTTCAGTCTGTCGGCTGCTCACAGGCACGTCAGGTATCGCTGGGGAGAAACTCAGCCCCGCACAAAGCTTCCCCAGCATCGGCCCCACAGGGGCAGTGGGCTGAGCATCCCCCAGGGTCTGCCCCTTGGCATCACGGAGGCTTATCCCAGGGAGGAAAGGGGCACAGGCAGACACCCAGCCCTGAGTGACCCCTTTGGCTTCCTGCAATGCTGAGAAACCTCGCTGTAACCCTGGGAAGCCACTGCAGGGTGAGACTTTGAAAGGTATGAAACACCTTACGCACAGACAGGCTGTCAGCCAGCTGAGGCTGCTAACGCCTTCTGATTTCATTCAGTGATCTGAAGGTTCATGGGATTTAAGTGATGCTTTCAAACTGCCCAGCAGTGCCCTGCCTGCACTTCTAACTGCCCATTCGCTTTGGAAATGCGCTCCTGAACCTCCCTGAGCTTCAGCGAGGGGATGTGCATTGTGAAAGTCCTGCTCCTTCTTCCCCTGCATAACAGAGCCTGTGCAGCGTGAGGCATTCAGCTGTGCCAGTGATGGACACCTGACGGGTACCACAGACAGAAACTGGCTAAGAGCATCCAAGTAGCTGGTAACAAGCTACCTCCACCTTGCAAAGAGGGAGGTGTATGAGCAGTCATGTGTTGGGCTATCCTTTAACAGATCATTTTGGGCTCTAGCAGAGAAGACTGGGAAAAATCAGTGATCTGCTAGGACCCAGATGAGAAGTGAGCGTGTCAGAGCAAGCTCCTCAGAAGATGCAGATCTCTCCTATCTAATAGATGTGAGTTGGCATGAGGAGGAGATGCATTGCTCCTGTTTTACTCCTGGGCCTTGGGGACACGCACAACAGCTTCACATCCCAGCACTCTGTCACTGCATTGCAGGTTGGGCATGGTGGAGAGCTTGTGGTCTTGTCACCAGCCCTGCTGATTGCCAGCACTGGCAATGGTCACGCTATGTGAGCCCTTTCCAGACCTTGAGATCCTACAGGAGCAGGGTTCATCCGCTCAAATACACTCAGTGCAGGCAGCCAGGCTCCCTCTGTAACTGGAGGAGATTAAATAGCCCTCGGGGTGGGGGTTCCACAGCAGGACCTGCCCCATCCCCTGGGCTGCAAAGGGAATACAGTAACAAGATCTGATAGGGACCTTGTCAGGGCTACGCAAGATAAAATCCACCCCAGACAACCTCATTCCATGTTTTTCTTCTGGTTTTGTCACCTGCTTTGGAATTACCTGATAAGTATTCCCTAGGATGTAAGTCATATAGGGCTGGAGTCTTGGAAGGCGCAAGGGAAGGCCAATTTGGTTCATTTACTGTGTAAATACCTACAGGGCAAAGCCAAGATGGTGCAGCAGAGTAATTCCCAAGCAGGAACCCTGGTAAAGGAGAGGACTACGTAAAGGTGGGGGGGAGGGTGGGCAAGAGAGACCATAGTGTAATTACCATGGCTGGGCCCAGAGGATGAGAATTACAAGGTAATTGGGCAGCACCCCATTGCTGTGTAAATACATGGTTATTTCTGTTCTGTAAACCACAATCCGGGTTACATGGTAATTACTTTGAGGTCCATTAAGTGTAATTATACAGTAATCTCCAGGAGCCAGTAATTACACTCATGTTCCAAAGTATCTACCACTTAAAACTCAGTGAGTGTCTTGCAGGTAGGAAGCAGTCGCTTGGGTTTGCAGTGTCTTGGTCTGTGGGATGGCCAGGACAGGGCCAGTGTTACCACTGCAGCTGGAACTGCCTTCCAAAGGAGAGCATTGGGCATGCTAGAGGAGGACTGACATGCATCTAAAGCCCTGCCAGTCTCCATGGCCTCCCTCTAGTCAACAACAGGATGGGCACCTTCAGAGGACTGCTCCTCCCATGCTGCCAGCAGTGCCCCATAGCTCACATAAACCCTTTTCCAGAGGTACCAGCCCATCCTTGGAGAACAAATGCAGCTCATGAAGTTTCATTCAGGCTCAAATGTCTCTTCTGGTTGCCAGGTCAGAGCAAATGAATGCCAGGCTTGTCATGATGACCAACATACCATATTTTGTTTAATTTATTATACTGCAAATTAAACTTAATGCTCAGCAGTGTCAATACCTCTTGTACACTTCTTCCACCTTTAGCTTATGGTTTCCATTGCAGGGTTCACCCCAACCGTCAAAAGAAGACCTAGGCCTTCCCATAGCCTGCTCTTCTCACTGGTGCCAGTCACAGCATGTCCCAGTGACAGGGAGATCTGGCATCCCCAGGACAAACACCAAGGGAATGGTCCCATGTCCGCTCTGCACTGCAGGGCAAGGGTACCCAGAGAAGCCCTTTCACGGGGCCCACAAAGCTGAATCCTCACCTGTCTTTCTTGTCCTTCATAAAGCCCCATTTTGGCCTGGAAAAGCAGGAAAATGACTCAAAGCAAAGCCCATGGGCTGAGGTCCTGGAAGTGGGCATGGGCCACTCTGAAGACATGAAGCAACAGCACAGCAATGGGCAAGGAGGGACTTGGGGAGAAAGAGTCCAACCATGGCTTGGACAGGCCCTCGCCTCCCTGTGCTCCTAGCAGGGAATATTCCTGCTGCAGAGATGTGTGAGATTTTGTTTCCAGGCACCGGCTGGATCAGCACAGTAGGAAAAACCTGGCTCCCACGCTGAACAACCAAGTTTCCATTCCTTCAAAGCACAGATACACTCGGTTGAGTTCCTACAGCAACATTAATGAATGGTTTCCTTTCCCTGTCTTTCAGGGACCTGAACTACAATGAGCTGCTGGAATTCCCTGGGGCCATCAGGACACTGGGACGACTGCAGGAGCTGTGAGATTTCCTATTTATTCCTCTTCAAAAGCATCGCGTGTGCTCTGACCAGAGGAGAGCACTCGATCCAAGGCTTTCTTTTGGCTTTTCCAGCCCTCTCTGACATGCACTTAGAAGTAGTTTGGCCCTTCAATTTCCATCAGCTCTCATCACCACCATCAACCTCTGCAACAGGCTGGTGGAGGTGAATAGTAGACCTCTCCATCAGGTTTGGAGCTGTTCATCCTCCCGTCACATCTGAAGGTCTCAAAGTCCATCTGATCTTTTTATTCCTGGAAGAATTCTCAGGAATTTCCCTCATCAGGAATCAGCATTACTAGGACATTCAAAATGAGAATAAGATCCTTAACCCACTTTGAGGTGGCTTTTGAAATGCCTGCCACTAACTAAGAAGCAAATTTCCAACAGCCATGTGGGATTAAACCTGGGCATCACCCAGAGCCTGGCCTTGCTCTTGGGCAGGTATTGGTCTTGGTCTCTGTATTCTTGGTGGGTTCAGTGAGTTACATACAGAGCACCAAGCTGTACACTGAGTAAATAGAGCATAATGAAGGTTTTGTCCTGCCCAAAGGCAGACCTTGTTCACTTGCTGGGATGATGCTACATCTGGAGCAGAGCCTACACATCCTATTTTCCATGTGTTTTGAAGACTTTAAAATTGCTGAAGAAACAAGGTGTCTCCAAGGCTTTCTCATTCATTAATATTGAGATATTTGTTTCTCCCAACAGCGGTTTTCATAACAACAACATCAAAGCTATTCCAGAGAACGCATTTGTTGGGAATCCTCTCCTCCAAACAATGTAAGATAATTAAACCATGTTTCCTAAATCCTTATATCCCCCAGAAAGGGGCATTTCCTGACAAAGTTTGGTTGGGATTCCTGACAGTCATCAGCATGACCGCAGTCTGTTATATATGGGCCAGTGCAAGCTGAAATTAGCTCCTCCTCAGCTATGCCTCAGGACTTTTGCCATGGGTTCTCCTTTCTCCGCAGCTGAACTTTGCTGTAGCACAGGCTGATAACAATGAAGGACCAATGTATGGGTGGTCTGCATGGAAACTTGCTGTGTGTAACAGGATTTGCAGAGCCCTGGTTGACATCTGCCTGTGTTTATTCCTTGTGTTTAGAAAAGCTGCTCGCCAGCTCCAGCAGTATCTGTATGTGTCGGGGAGCTGGGACACCAGATCGTTGTGGTGATCACAGCGTTACGGCACTAGAGCAGGGTTGAAGGAAGGCTTTGCATCTTTGGGTTCAGCAGGACACCGAAGAGCCCTTTCAGGCTAGCAGAAGACCTCAGTTTTACCAATGTTCAGCCAAAACAGGCTAGTGGAAGAGCCTGAGGCTATCTGGAAAACAAGGACAGTCAATAGCTGCTGCTATGCTGGGTGCTCCAAGGCTCTTGACCTGTAATAGCATCTTTTCACGCGCAGCAGAATCTGACCAGTTACCCATTTTCTTTGCAGCCATTTTTACGACAATCCCATCCAGTTTGTTGGACAGTCTGCTTTCCAGTACTTGCCAAAGCTCCACACTCTGTAAGTTCATCAGCATGTCCTCAGAGAGGTAACACATCCAAGCCCCAAGCCCTGTGAGCTCGACACCATCGAGGTCTCCTCCCTTCCTCTTGCCTAGAGCCCTTGTGCCAATAGAAGACCATGGTGCCACTCTTCTGGCCAGCCCCAGGGCAATGAGCCAAGGAGTGGACACTGCAGATGTTTTCTGCTGAAGAAGAATCATTTTGAGAAGGGCATTTTGGAGGGACCATTTCATTCCTCCTGTCACCACAGCTGACAGGCACTGGAGTCATTTAGGGTCTCCATGGCTTCATCAGCACCAGCAAAGACCACACTCACAAGTGCCACAACTTCTGTCACATGCTGCTCAAGCAAAACCTGCACTGGTGTGTAGCGGCTCAAATTCAAGGACACTGAAGGCGTCTGCCTTCCCCCACAAGGTGGAGAAGCAGAGGAACATGTGTCCTTTAGCACTGACACCACGGCACAAATAATCTTAGTGGGCAGGTAGCGGTGCCAGTGCTTTCCTCCATACGTTTGGCCCTAAGGCTGCTCCAGGATCACCACCACTCCATGTAGGCTGGCCCGCACTGGGTGGCTTTTCAGCTAACCCCTTGTGGCACAGCACTAAACACTGAGGCAGAGGAAACCTCAGAATCTCTCTTTATAAGCCTCACACAGCCTCCCACACTCAGGCAAATAAATCCTTCCAATGCCCATGCATTCTTTAGATCCAAATGCATAGGCTTAGGGGTCTTGCGTGGGATGCTCTGCTTTACATCCCCCATTGTTTGGGAGGTTCTATTTAATTTGTGTAGGGATCATGCCAAGGATGTCAGTGGTCTGGGGAAGGGTCTGAGCTTGTCAAGCCCCTGTGAACAGAAATGCCCAGCTCCAGCTCACTGCATGTGCACTGTGTGAGACATCTGCTCCACCACCCAGCCAGCAGTGAAACACTGATGAGAGGGGGACCTTTGTATCTGGCCCTCTGATCACCACACTTGGGTGTGAGGAAGCAGATTTGCCCCCACTGCTGATGGGTCTGGGACCTTGGGCAGCTACACTTGCTTCTGGGTCCTGGCCAGCTCACTTCACCCTCATTTCTCTGCAGGTCACTCAATGGTGCGACGGACATCAGGGAATTCCCAGACCTTAAGGGCACCACCAGCCTAGAAGTTTTGTGAGTGGCACCTCTCTCCCTTTTACCCTGCTATTTGTGCTCTTCCTCCATCAAGGCGGTCCAGGCTGTTTCAGCGAGGACAACTTTCACAGTGCTGTGCAGCTGGTTGTCTTCAGCTCTGCCTCTCCCTGGTTACTCACCTCTCTGCTTCGTTTCACCCCTGTGGCTCCTGAAAGCAGCTTTCCTTTCCGTGAGTTGCTCTCTCGCTACTGTTGAGTGTGCTCCAATCCTTGTTTGAGTTATTTTTTTCTCTTCCTTCCCTTCTGCATCTGTGAAGGAAAGAGCCTTTGAGTGCAGGGCTTCAGGGTGGTCTGACAAGACCTAGCGTCTCTGCCCAGCCTGGGACCAGCACTGGCAGGGCAGAAACCATCTGCCACCCAGGCTGGGGGCTTCTGCAACTGTTCTGGTCTCTTCCTCACACCACCAGACCCAGCAGAGCAGGAGCTGGAGGAAATGGGGTCTCTGGCCATCCATGGATCTCCTCTCTAGGGCACTCATCCACACACTGTGCGCAGTGTGGGAGCACAGCTGAGCACCCCACCCCAGGAGCATGATCTGGCTGTGCTTTGCCTCGGGGACATAGGGACACATTATCCATCCCCCATGCACAGGTTTCTGCGGCTCCAGGCACATCACCAGTCTGGACAATGGGGAACTGGGATGGCAGAACACACCACACAGGGCACTGCCACCTGACCTCAAGGTGGTGAAGGACAGCAGTGAATTCTGTATGTGGCAACATCCCAGAATTTCTTATAGCCATATTGACTGGGTCCAGCAGCAGTGCCCGTTTCCAAGGCGGGTTTCATTTCTATCTCAGTATTTCATTGATATTGTCTCTCCTGCCATCACCTGGGACCAGCAGCTGGGCTTGTGGGTCACAGACTCCGTGTGCTGGCTCTCAGTAACATCATTTCTTCTCTCTCCTCCTCTCCTGTAGGACCTTGACCCGGGCAGGCATCCACCTGCTCCCCAGAGGGATGTGCCAGCAGCTGCCCAGCCTCCGAGTCCTGTAAGTAACAGAAAACCCAGCTTTCTTCTTGTCTCGCTCAGGGAGGGGACCAGCTTTGGAAGCCTACCCTGGGGTTCTTATTCCTGTTACCTTTTCCATGCAGAAAACACCACTTTCTTAGGCACTACCTTGAGCGTTACATGAAGCTTGCTTGCTTCATCCCAGCGTGATGCTCTGGACTCACATGGTGCAGCCGGGGCAGATCAGGGTTTTGCTTGGAGTCTTTAAGTTGCTTTGGCTCTACCTGCTTGGCAAAACAAGGAACGATGCTGAGTGGAGGGATGCACTTTTTCCTTTAACTGGGTGCATGATGAAATCCCCACCTCAGAAAGACTCCTGCACCTTTCCAGGAGTCACAGCCCTCGTTCCCGAGATCCCACTTTGTCTGCAGTCAGAGAAATCATCAGGAAATGAGTCATGAGCCAGATTTATACAAGTTTGCAGCCTTAGGGCAAGCAGGAGGCTTGCCTCTCATCAGTTTTTATACAAGCAAGCTGAAAATGAAAACAAGTTTGTTCCAGGAAAGCAACAGGAACGAATCCTTGATCACAGAAATTGGGAACAAGAGGAAAACATAAAAATAAAAGAACACAGTTTGGAACCTTGCAGATCACAGCATTTTGGCTCTAGCTGTCCCTGCAGGGAAGATCTCTCATCTTTAGACATTGGGACCAACTCAATGGCCATCTTGCCACCAAAGTGTAGCCTTTGGAATGGGCCAGGCTGTAGGGTCCCAGGTGCTCTGTTTATGTTGCAAGTTATCTGAGTGCAAAGCAGAGTCTGTTCCTCATGCCTGCCCCTCCTTGTGGGAGAGCTTTACCGGGACACCCCATGTTTTTCTTCATTCTTCTTTCCCACTTAGTTTTGCTGACATTAACTGCATTGCGTTCAGAATCAGGACAGTACGCGGGGCAACGTTTGTGCATGTTTGCATCTCCCTTGCCTTTGAGATGCATTGGCCTTCTGTCCCCACAGAGGTGGTTCTCGCTGCTCTCCCCCACGTTGACACAACTGAACACAGATGATGCTGTTAATGCCACATCTCTGGCCCTCTGCTCCTCACCCCACTCTGCAGACCTGCTGCAGAGATCTTGCATGGGGGCTGTAAGAGCTACCACACGGGCATGAGGCTTGCACCAGTGCTTGCCTTGCACAAAGACACTCAGAGCAAGCATCATGTGTGTGCAGAGTGGAGATCGCCCTCACTGGGGCTTATTGTTGCTGGGGAGGGACTCTTCTTTAGGGACTGTAGTGACAGGATAAGGGGTGATGGGTTCAAACTGAAACATTGGGAGTTTAGATTGGATCTAAGGAGGAAGTTCTTTCCTGTTAGGGTGGTGAGGCACTGGAATGGGGTGCCCAGGGAGGTTGTGAATGCTCCATCCCTGGCAGTGTTCAAGGCCAAGTTGGAGCCTTGGGTGAGATGGTTTAGTGTGAGTTGTCCCTGCCCATGGCAGGGGGGTTGGAACTGGATGATCTTAAGGTCCTTTCCAACCCAAACTATTCTATGATTCTATAATTCTATGACTGTTGTCCACATCTGTGCAAAATGGAAGTCGGGTCACCCCCTCTCCAGCTTCCCAAGGGAGGGATCGGGGTGCTCCCGTTTGATCTCTTCACACTGCTGTGCTGGTCCTTCCCCTGCAGGGAGCTCTCACACAACCACATCGAAGACCTGCCCAGTTTCCACCGGTGCCAGCGGCTGGAGGAGCTGTGAGTAACGAGATGCCCCCGTGCACCACACTGGGGAGAAGGGATCTTATGGGGAGAGAGGCAGTTCCCACACTCAAACCTCAGCCTTCACCAAGCGCTTGGGAAGCTGAGCGCTGGAACTCACTGTGTGGGCTGCAAGCAGACCAGAGCTCCAAGCCTTGTCCCTGTGCAAATACAGGATACGAATACATCCCCTGTGCACGGGAGCTTCATTAACTCAGTTCTTTTCAGGGGGCCCAGCCACAGCATCAGAACTAGAACGTGACAGCACTGAATTTCACTTCAAAAGCAGTCTGCAGGCTTAGGGTGGAACAGAGTAGGGGACCAGCATGGCTTTGTAGCTAATGGGGCACATTCAACCACTACACATCAACAGTACTTTGCTGTGCTGCCATGGCATCAAAAGTAGAGGCCGTCTGACCACTGGAGCTGCCCACTTTAAGCTGTTTTGTTGAGCATCCTGTTTACCCCTTGAAATAAGAGTAGATCTCCCAAGCTCAAATGGTGGCTTCCACTGGGACAGTGCCTGCTGTGGGGTGACAATGACCCCTACCAAGTGTGAATGCTGCTTTCTCAGACCGGCTTCTGCTTTTTCAGTGGTCTCCAGAACAACAGGATCCATGAGATCAGAGCAGACACCTTTGTGCAGCTGATGGCCCTGCGCTCCATGTAAGTACAGCAGGGGAGCAACTGGACTTTTTGATGGAAGAAGGGGACTTGTGAGCTCCAGCTCTTCCACTTCCCTTTACAAAAGCACAGGGCAAAAACGCTCCCTCTGACTTCCCTTCTGCATGCAGACAGCCCTCTGTAAAAGAACACATCACCTGCCAGCCTCACTGCCCACACACAGGGATGCTTCCCATCACATGCCCAGGCTACACACTGCAACTCGTATGATGCACAGCACACACTACAGACAACTGACCTCTAGATACCCACACAGGCATGGACACATGGCAGGGACTTGTGCATGAGCATCCCTTTCCCTGCACACGCTAGTCCTAGGCTGTGCATTCCTGGGACCCCCATGCAGAGCACCCCCTTTGATTTGGGACAGTGTCCCCACAACTCAGCAGTGTATGTTAGATGTATGAAGTGCACACAAGTGTGCACATAACATACACACACAGGAACCTTGCAGCACACAGCCCATTGACATGCTTGGCACCTCTGAGAAGCGAGCAAGGCTCCACAGGGCATGATTCTCCCTGTACATGCGAGAAGAGCCCTCAACACGCTGATGGTTTCTATTTACTGTTCTCTTAGGATAGGAACTGAATTGCATGGAAGCTTCTGCCTCTGGTGCAGCATTTAACAGGCCAGCATTCCTAGAGGTGCACATTGTGTTAGTAACTGCACAGGAGCACTCACGTATCGCATGGAACACTACAGACAAGCATGGAAATAGGGGCCTGCTGCTGGCACACACACTCATACAAACGTACATCTGAGAATGCAAGCTCCAGCATTTGCCTCTGGGTGTTTCCTGCATCCCTATGGGAAGGATCCATCTCACCCAGTTTCAGCCTTTTGCAGTGGGACACACACACACACACGCACACACACCTGGGCAGGTATCTCCAGCTCCCTTTGGAGCAGGAAAGATGAAGACACACACAGCAGACTTCTCCTGTAGTCAGTCTTAGGAGATAAAGAGGCTTCTTGATCCACTGGCTCTTCTCTGCTGGTAACAGAGGGTGCTGAGCCCTCTGGCTCAGGTGGAAGCAGAGTTCATTGAGCAGCCTCAGTGTGCTCAAGCCAACTGTCTATGACAGGAAACACTCCCAGATGACCTCGGTTCACCTTCACCCAGTCCCTGAGCAGATCTGCCTGTGCCTGGGAGCCCAGCACTGTAACCATGAGGGATGCTCTGGCACTACAGCATAACCTGTCTACTGCTCTGAGGTTTAGTGTGTTAGCATAGCACCCCAGATTTACAGAAACTAACCCAAAGGAACCTTTCCCATTGGTCTCAGTGGAGGAGATCCTCCAAGGCAAACCCTGGTACCCTTTGCTAGAAATCACCCATATATAAGACCCAAACATATTTGTTTCCAAGGAGCTGCAATGAGACAGAGCTTGCTGCTGATCTAGAGGCTACAGACCCCACATTTGCTCGCATCGAGCCCCTTTACCGGGGAGGTGTCAGCAGCTTCACTGCCCTGCTTTACTCCCCTCTTACTGTTATGTCCTTGCCTTGCAGAGACCTGAGCTGGAATCACATCCAGTTTATTCACCCTGAAGCCTTTGTGACCCTGCACTCGCTCACCAAGCTGTAAGTTGCAGTGATACCAATGCTCCATCCCTGGAGGTGTTCAAGGCCAGGTTGGACAGAGCCTTGGGTGCCGTGGTTTAGTGTGAGGTGCCCCTGCCCACGGCAGGGGGTTGGAACTGGATGATCTTAAGGTCCTTTCCAACCCTAACTACTCTACGATATTTCTTTCACAGTGGGCCATGGAGAGCAGGTATCTGAGGAGCTCAGATATCCCCAAGGATACCTGGCATTTAGATACCAGAAGGCTGCAATGCTGAGGTGCATGCCTCAGCACTGACATGGGCAGACCAAATCCCAAGGTTTCCTACCGATATTAAGGGGACAATGAAAAAGCATCTTCAAGATGCTGCCACCCTGAACACTTAAACCTTCACTTTCTGATGCTTTCAAACCTGCTTTAGATGTCCTTATGAAAGATCAGCAGGACACACCGTTTTGGCAAGAGTATTGCAGGCTACCTTTGCTGGCCTTAGAGGGGGCCCCAGTCCTCAGGCCCCTCACTAAGGTCCTTGGGTACTGAATGGGCTGGAAGCTGCAGTCATACCTGACCTGTTATGGGGGGAGTTGTGAGGGAAGAGATGCATGGGAGAGATATTTGTACAGGAGGTAGATACTATCCCGAGCTTTCAATGTGAACATTAGCCCCTGCCCCTCATTTTCCCCAGGGATTGCAGTATGGATCCATTTACCTCCAGCGGATCCTGGTCCCCGTGCAGCACCAGGTCCCATTTCAGCATCCCATTAGAGGGAGTAATCCAGTGTGGCTCCCTAAGCCTCTGCTTGGCTGAGATACAACCAGCACCAAAACTCTGACCGTGATCTCCCTTCTCTGCTTTCCCTTCATCAGGGACTTGACTGATAACCGGCTGGTCACGCTGCCTCTGGATGGTTTGGGTGGACTGACCCATCTGAAGCTCCAAGGCAACCCTGCTCTCTCTGAGCCCTTCACCAAGGAGAGCTTCCCCAAAATGAGGTAGTGGTGGTGTTGGCTCTTTCACTTCTGGCTCTCAGCACAGTCTGTGTTTGCTTACAGCAATCAGTCTCCTTCTTTCCTTGTTTATCTCGTGCTTTCCTCCATCCTTTCAGGCCAATAGGGTGAGGGAGCTTCATCTGCTGCTAATGGGCCTCATCTTTTAAAGTCTTCCATGGGAGAGTGGTGATGCTCCCGGGCCCATCGGCCCCCACCCAAACACACACACAAGTGGAAAGCATGGAGCAGGCCCAGCTCAGGGCTCCCTTGAATGGAAAACATTCCCAGAAGCCAGTCCTAGCTAATGACATCCAGCTTTCCTTCAGTAAACTCTGTTTGTGTGGCCGCGCCTGGTCTGCTATGGATTAATGAGGAGCCTGAAGGGGTCAAACCAAGCCAAATGGGGCTGCAGAAGGCTTGGAGTGCAGTGCCACGCTGCAGGCTCTGGCTCCCCTGACCCTCCCGTAGTGGTGGGTCTCCAGCACGTCATCTGCCCTCAGGCTGAGCCCCCCGTGGTCCAGATGACTCAAATGCCCCTCAAGTGAAGCCATCTTCTGCTTGGGTCTCCCAGGTAGCTCCCTTGGAGCCAAGGATGCATGAGCTGATGCTCCCACTCATCCAGTACGGGTTCCCAAGGGTAGAGCTGCTCCAGTTTAGACACCCACTGCTGGGGTCACAGCCACCCCAACACTGGGCTTAGGAGCTCAGGCCTGGTGCAAAGCATGGATCTCTCACTTCAGTCTGCCTCAGCAGTGCTGTCCACAGGGCTTTCTCTCCTGGTGGCTTCGACTTATCATAGCTGGTTTCCAAATGGCAGGGGATCCCAGAAGCTTCTGGAGGGCTTTCCACACCCAAGATAGCAGTCCCTTGTGCCCAGTGGGTCAAGTTGAGCATTTCCTCAACTGTTCCTCCTCTAAACTTAATTCCATTGACATCTGTGGAACTGATTTGGATTGGTACCAGAAAAGCTGAGTGTGCAGGAGTGGTTAATGAGTCATGGCACGTGACGGACCAAATAACCTTCTCTTAAGGATAACAATATCCTTATCTTTGGGGTACTGCCATTAAATAGACCTATTCTTGGGCATATGTCTGGAGGGATGATCTGAGAACAGTCCTCAGCCATCCTGGGAGATTCTGTACTTCGCCATCACCTTGCAATAATAGGATTTAATTGGGAGCTTATAACAGGAAGGCAGCTTGTATACAGAGTTTCCCTAGCCTCCCAGGGCTCGGCCAGATATGTTTGGGAACTTAAACAAAGTGTATTTTTAGGCTATAAAGTTTCACCACATTCACTGATCTCGTCAGGGGACCGTAATTGTCTGGAAAACCTGAGGTTCCTTTGCCTCCATCAGCAGTCTGCCTGACTCCCAGCAACGAAGCAGGAGTGTGCAGCCTTTGAAGAGCACGCAGCTGCTGACTGATAGGCTGGTATTCATCCAGCTGATGTTCAGCTGCTGTTTAATGAACCTTGAAACACACGCTGTAATTAACTGACAATTCGACTCCCGAGCAGAAATCAGACATGAAAATAACTTGCTCCACTCAAGAGACCTGAGATTGCCCTGTTTGAGCTGGCAGGGGTGAGCTGTGGTCCTGGAACTGGAGCTTGGAGGTGCCTCTCTGACCCTCAGCACCAAGCAAAGGAGGACCTTGCACTCCCTTGAGCTCTTGGGAAGCTTCTCACTTTAAGCCAAAGAAAGGATGCCCAGCAAAAAACGGCTTTGGGGTCAGCACTGAAGGGTGCACATGCAGATGGTGCATTGCCAGAGGGCGGAGGAAAAAGAGGCTATTTCAGTCTAGGGAGAACTGCAGGAAGGTTTTTAGGAACATCCAGGAACTTCAGTGCAGTTTCCAAACCTGTTGTTTGATAACATCCTATTGACCGACAGTGTCTTCAGCACCAAAAGCGGGCAGTGCAGAGACACCGTGGCGTGACTTGGGCCCACATTCTGTCCTACACGGAGTCCTTCACCAGGGCAAAGTCCTGCTCCGATGTAACCATCACCTGATAGACTTGTTTTGGTTAAATATGGCAGTCAAGCACAAAGAGCACAGCAATGGAGAGCGAGGCCATGGAGGTGATGCACCTCAAAGTTCTGCTTTCCCCCTCTTACAGAGTTCTCGAGGTACCTTACGCCTACCAGTGCTGTGCCTATGGAAGCTGCAGCAGCTTCTTCAAGATGTCCAGCCAATGGGAGACGGAAGACATGAGCCCTGAGGAGGAGGATCCCCACAAGAGGACCGTGGAATTGTTTCCAGGTCATGCTGATAACCACTGTAAGTAACCTGGGCTGAACGGTGATCAACCCATGGGCAGAACCGTGGTGTGGGCTAGGATGTGATCCTGCTCTTGCTAGGTACCAAAGCATTTGCTGTCTCAAAAGACAGTCTCTCCCAGCTCTGTTGACAGACCAAGACCTACCGTAGGCTGCCAGGCCCCCAGGCCAGTCTCAGCCTCATGGATTATATGTGTGTTCACAAGATACTATGACCAGAGGGGAATGCTGACTGATTCCAAGATGTGCCAGATGAGACTATTAGCAGCTTGTAAAGGCTCATATTTTCAGATGTTAAAGCACTCATTCTGCCTTGAAATACCAAACCACAGAGGTACAAATGCAAAATGCTCAAGAAAATCCTTCTTTACTATGTGCAGCTTTTGCAGATAGTCTCCTTACCACTCGGTAATGCATGGTCTACTCTTCACAATGAGGGTTTTGTGATACTGCTATTTTATTTAATCGATTGTTGCTTTATTTCTGTCCCCAGTGCTTCCTTTTCTGATGGCCACCAGCAGTATTTAGCTGCGTTACATGAATCTTGTAACACACCCTCATTAAAGAGGAAAAAAGCTCTCAAACATTCCTTCCATGCAAGAGATACATTGGTCTCATTAAGAGAAAATACCTCGGAGCTCCATCCCCGCAGTGTACAGCCAGGCCCATCAGGGTGCTTGGATGCTGTGGGAGAACTTGTGAGAGGGATGGGGCACGCTTCCAGACAGCCGTGTCCTCTCAGCCTTGCATAGTGATTCCAGCAAGGGACTGGGGAGCCCTTTACAAACAAGCCTGCAGAACCTCACGGCTGGGTGGTGAAAGGCCACTTGTCCCAGGCAGCTGGGTAGGGATGAGAAATGGGTCCCCAGTGACCCAGCCCTGCTCCAGCAGCCAGGCAGTGCTGCCTGCCTGCACCCAGCACCCATCCAGCACCAAAGGACTGGCTGACTCCAGCCACATGGTGCCCAGCCATGGACTCTGGGACCAGCTCTACTGCTTCCCATCCTGCCATAGTCCTGGGTACCTGGGAACCCCCAGACACCACCCAAGTGTGTCTGGTCACATCCAACCGAGAGCCACCCCAGGCCCAAAGCAGTGTGGTTGGCACATTCCTGTCCCCTTGTCACAACAGATATTCAAGGTCCCATTTTCAAAACTTTTGGTGCTCAGGAGATGCCTCTTTGCATTATAATTGGTGGCATTTCACAGATTCACCCCTGCCCTAAGCCTGTCCCGTGCGGCTGGGCAGGACCCCGAAGATGGCTTTGGGGCTGTCACACAGGGCATCCGGCAGCTCGCTCCTGCTACCCTCCCCAAACAGGGAGGGCAGGGAAAGAGCAAGTGGTACTATTGCCACAGGCCACTTCCATCACACCCCACTTCAGGACCACTAGTTCGAGGATAGAAAGGGATGTATTTACTTACAAACATGTGTTTGCAATAATGGAATGAAGCCCTAGAAAGTGAGAAGAGAACACACTTGTATGGCTGTCCTTGATAAAGGCACACTGCTTTACCCAGCCCAGCACCTCCACTAGGTTCTAAAGCAGACTCATTAGCATTTACAACCATTCAGCATTACTGAGGGGTCCTTAGACCATTCTAAGACTACTTCTGCCATTCAAGACCACTCAAGCTTCCCAAAATCACCTGCCGAGGCCCCTTGCAGCCACCTATGCCCTAACTGTGAAGGAGAGAGCACTTATCTGCCAACCACACGTGGGGACTGCCCTGGCTATGGCAGACACCAGCAAAGGGGAAGAAGCATCCAGCCGGGTGGTTTTTGTTCTCCTCTTCATTCCACATCAGTGTTAGTAAGGCAGCTGGGAACCGTTCTCCATGCAAAGGACACTACAAGCAAAGCACTTTTGTTCCATGAGGCCTCAGATAAGTGGAAGCACATTAGCTAAATTCAAATAAATAAGGGCTACCTAACAGGGAATGAAGCCTGCGCTGCTACATCCCCGCAGCCCTTTGCTTTTCTCTACAACTCCCAGGCTAGGGGAAGCACTGATTTCCAGCAGAGAGAGGTACATTTTCTGCCTTGAACCCCTCTGCGCTGGCCAAGGATTGCTTTGCAATTCCCAGCTAGCTCAAAAGCTGAGGCAAAACAAAAGATCACTCCTTCATTCCATGCAAAGGTCTAACCCCCACTTCAAACCAGCCTTTGTGCATTCCAGCCCTTTGAAGAGAAAAGGGATGGGGGCAGGTTAGGATTTAACGTTACCATGGGCAGGGTTGGGCAGAAAGTGCAAGCCTCTGCATTGATTTGAGCATTGTGACTGCACACCACAGCCCCTGCGCTCTGGGTGAAAAAGGCACTGGAGATTTATAAGGCTATAAAATACAAGGACGAAACATTTTCCCATCCCACTGTGAGTGTTTTCTTGCCAGGCTCCAAAGCAGCAGAAAGATTTCAACTCTTACACAGACACACTTTGAAAATGGCTTTTTTTCCCCCAAAGCTCCCTGAAGCTGAGGAAGCCACAATGCTTGTCAGGAGGCACTAAAGAGAACACGTTGTTTGTCATCGTTCTTCAACCTGATGATCCCAGTCTTATTCCCAAATACAGACAGGGAGTAGACCTCATGAGGGACCCCATTTCTAAACAGATCAGGCAACTAAATCCCTCTTGGGTGAGTTATATCCTCAGCACTGTGGAAACTCGCCTTCCTGCACGTGGACACCAGCATCAGCCCATATCATCCCATGGAGAATTCATCCCACGGCCACAGACCCAGGTCCCTGGATATTGGGCTGCAAGAAGCAAAACCCCACGTCCCTTTCCCCTTCTTCCCACTTGCAGGAAAGCCTCCAAAGATCTCCCTTGGGAGCAGCAGGCCGTGCTGGTGCCATGGGTGGGGATGGTGCAGCAGCACAGCAGCTGTCCTCACCACATCTCAGCACTGTGAATCAGTGGCAGTGTAAAAAGAGGAGCCAGGAACAGAGCAGAAAAGCATGCCTTGGATTTGATTGAGAGGATGCCATTCTCCTTGGTGATGACCTTCCCCTAAGGGCCACCAAAACACAAAAAACCCAGAGCCATTCTCTTCCAGCAGCTTCTCCTTCAGCCAGCGAGACTCTGCCTGATCCTCAGTGAGCCCACGCCTGGCTCAGGGTGTCCTCGTGATGGAGATGTGGGCCCAGCAAGGATGGGCAATGGGGGCAGCACAGTGTGGGTGCATAAACCCCATGGGTATGAAGTCTGCAGGCAGGGGCAATCAGCCTGCCTTTAAGAAAATGCAAGACAGTGCATCACATTCCCAAGAAATTGTAGGACATAAAATAAAGCAATAGATGTTGGGTTCTCTTGTCTCTTTGCTTCTGAGCTCTTTGGTGGTTGTTGCTGATGAAGACTTTGTGCTGCAAGTAGAAGCTAACAGCTCTCTTTGAACAAAGCTCCAATGTCATTGAGGATGAACCAACGTTGGACAAAGCCTGCCCAGAAAGCTTCCATTTAGAAGATGCATTTGAAGGCTTTGTTTTCTGTAACCACATAGGCTGGAGTATTTCTTTATGTTTAATAAAGCATGCTGGGAGGAGGGATCTGCAGTCACAAAGCACTGGGATCTGTGGCTCTTCCACTTCAGATGTTGGGAGTGACCTCAAAACAGAGGGGCTGCCCACACTGCAACCCACCAACATCTACAAGAGCCTCTCCCTCTACAGCAATGACTGCAGGGGTCAAACCAGACACCAGCAGCTACTGTGAACAGGAGAGCTGGGAATCATTTGGGAAGGTCTGTGTTGAGGACAGGCAGTGGGAAAAGCTTCTAGCCCAGCTAGCCCTGATGGCCCTGCTCATTCTCTGAGCAATGATTCTCATTTTCTCCCCAGATGACCTAGATACAGACGACCTCCAGCTGGACCTTGAGGAATCCAAGCTGCACCCCACTATTCAGTGCACTCCAAGCCCAGGTGAGCAGCCAGGGCAACCCTTTGAACACAGCCTTTGAGCTTCTCTAAGTCCCCAAGGTCCCACAACCCTTCCCATGCCTCAGACGTGCAGATCAGAAGCCGGAATGGTTGGGCTCTGGCCAAACTGGGGACAAGTGAGGAGCTTCCTTCTCCCAACCCAGCTGTAGCTGCCCTCCTATGAGGGGAGGACAAGGTCTGATCAGGTGATTCCTGATCAGGAATCTGAGGTATCCAGCTCCTCCATCCACCACCCTGCCCGCACTCAGACTCATGCTTTCAAGAAGTTCCCGTTCCCTTGCAAGACCGAGACTTTGCTTTGTCCCAGCCAGCCCATAATACTGCATGACAAGACCTTGTCCTTCATCTCCTGATCCTACTTGCAGCACTGCAGACTGCAGGGGTATTTTACTCTGTTTCCTGAGAAAGGGAGAGGAGGGAGGTGCCACTGTCTCCTTACTTCCATCAGAACCATGCCAGCAAGCACAGGCTGGCTGGGACACCAGGAACTGCTTTTGGATTTGGTGCCCATTTGCAGCTCAGTGGTGTCCTCACAAGCAAGATCACTCAGTTTCCTCTCATTTCTTTTGATCTCTGCTGCTTAAAACTTGTGAAGGGGAATATCCTGGGTATAACTTTGGGGTCTGCTTTCTTCCAGGTCCCTTCAAGCCTTGCGATCACTTGTTCGAGAGCTGGATCATCCGCCTGGGAGTCTGGGTCATCGTCCTGGTCTCAGTGCTCTGCAACGGGCTGGTCATCCTGGCTGTCTTTGCCTCTTCCAGCTACCTGTCTCCAGTCAAGTTCATCATCGGCTCCATCGCCGGAGCCAACATGCTGACCGGCATTTACTGCAGCGTGCTGGCTCTCGTCGACGCCCTGACCTACGGCCACTTTGCCAACTATGGTGCCAGATGGGAGACGGGAGCGGGCTGCAGGGTGACAGGGTTCCTGTCCGTGTTTGCCTCCGAGGCTGCCATCTTCCTGCTGGCGCTGGCTGCCGTGCAGTGCAGCATCTCAGTCTCCTGCGTGCGGGGCTATGGAAAGTCACCCTCCTTAGGCAAGGTCAAGGCTGCTGCTTTTTGCTGCCTGTTGCTGTCCTCTGTGGCTGCCGTTCTCCCTCTCTTCTCCATTGGGGAATATGGAGCATCTCCTCTCTGCCTCCCATATCCCATTCCAGATGGGAAACCAGCCACCCTGGGCTTCACTGTGGCCTTGGTGATGACAAACATGCTCTGCTTCCTGACTATCACAGGCACCTACATCCGACTCTACTGCAACCTGCTGAAGGGGGAGTTCAGCGCTGTCTGGGACTGTGCCATGGTCAAGCATGTGGCCTGGCTGATCTTCACCAACTGCCTCCTCTACTGCCCAGTAGCCTTCCTCACCTTCTCCTCCACACTCAACCTCTTCCTCGTCACCCCAGAGGTCATCAAATCCATCCTCCTCGTGGTCCTGCCCCTGCCCGCCTGCCTCAACCCATTGCTCTACGTGCTCTTCAACCCCCACTTCAGAGATGACCTCCGCCTGCTGAGGCGGAAGGGCCAGGACAAGGGGAGCTACCCCGAGTCCTGCGGGGTCGATGACATGGATAAAAGCTCCTATGACTCCACGCAGGCTCTGGTGAGCTTCTCCGACATCGACCACATATTCGAGACGCCCGATTCCCTGGGAGTGCACCCCATCCTTGACAGCTTCAGCTTCCCCTCCATGACGCTCGTCCCCTGCCAGCAAAGGGTGGGCACCAGGGGGAAGGAGAGAGGCTTTTCTGAGCATTGTCCCTGCCTCAATGACAGTGAGGTGCTGATCACTTCGGAGAGCAGAGAACCAGCCGGCAGCAGCCTCCGGATAACCTTCTTCCCCTCCCCTCCCACACCACCCTACGTGTCTCACTTATAAACCTCCTCTGATTAGCCATGCCCAACAGCCCCACACCACACACTGAGGGCCAGCCCCAGCACCGGGTGGCCAGCAAGGTGACAGCAGGCTGCTCCATGTAAAGCACCAGTACAACCCATCTACCCTCGCCCCCATCGTGTCTGCCTGGACAACAGGCACCTCTCTGCCAGCTGCCACTCGCCTGGGAGGGCTCTGACTGAGCTCCAGATACTCGGGGCTGGTCATGGGAGGAGATAAACCCCTGCATGAGTGCTTCTCCTGCTAGGGACTGGCTGGGAGCGAGTCGCACCAGTTCAGGAGATAGGTCAGGGAGATCCTCATCATCATCCAGCTGCATCACAAGCCAGGAGGAGCCTGCAGCAAAGCCAAGCACGTCTTCTCAAGGCAGAGATGCCTTAGCAAAAGCCATTGTTCTGTGGCAGAAACACATGGAAACGGCCAACTGCAATGATGTGGCTACCCATAGGGACCTTGTTCTCCAGGGTTCTCTGCAGGCCCCACAAACCCCTGGAAATGGGCTTGCATCTGCCCCACACCACCGACTGGAAGAGCAGAAGTGGGTTAAAAGCAGTGTGTGCACCTGAGGTTTGGACCGCCCCTGTTTTGGGAGGCTCTGCTTCATCCACTGAGAGCCTCACAGGTTGGGCAGGACCCCCACTTTCAGCTGATAGCAGGAGCTGGGAATGCTCAGCCCCTCCTTCAATCTGACCCACAGTGTCTGACAAACAAGGGGTCTCTGAACTTCAAGGCAGCCAAATCCAAACACCTCCCTGGAGAAACCCATGTGCTTTGCCTGAGGTCACTCAGCAGCACCTTGACACGGTGCATCCAGCTTCATCGCTCCCTTCACCTTCATGTGCTGCAGCACTCCTGTCTGTAGTCACGAGGCTCCTGGTCACACCCAGTGAAACTGGGGTCTGGCCCCAAACCTCACTCCTGGAAGAGGCTGTTGGCTCTTCTCCCCATGCAGAATAGCCATTTGGGGGCTGCATTTGCCCTCCCCTATTTTAAGGGCAGCTCATGTAGGAGGAGGGAACAGAAATCAGCCTTGTGGGATGATGGCATCAGGAGGACACCAGTCACTGGGAACAGTCTCAAATCTGCTCCCTGCAGCTCAGGGATCTCCCAGATCCACCCTCTCCATCACAAACCTTCCTACTGCCACCCAACGCAACAGGGAGCCCGGAGATCAGAGCTCAAGCCCTACACACACAAAGCTTTGGTCCTGCTGACATTACTGCAGCTGTATGTCATCCATTCTTGTGAGACAATAAATGAGCCCCATTGCTGACCAGTGGCTGGCTTCTGTCCTCTTGCGTGTGGAAAGCACCTTGTTGGTTCATTCAGCAACCGGCTGCCTGCCTCTCAAGCCAAGCTGGGCTGCTGGGGCTTGGATGTTGTTTGTATGGCTTAAGGGAGGACTGGGGAATTGTGTGTGTCCCCATGAGCTGGCATCATCCTCCACACCCCTCTTCTTCAGAGGGAAGAGCCAAAACACCCACCTTTATGCAGCAGAAGTACATCACCTGCGTCCCTTTCCAGACCCCATGGACCAGACCCACCTGGTTGCACCCTGTGATCTGCTGTTCAGGGCTCATGAGCAGGACAGTCTGATGATAACAGTTTGAGGACATCCTATAACAGGGTCTCCCATGTGAAGGCAGAATCCCCACCCAGAGCCAAGCTCTGCTCCCCTTCTCTGCTCACGAGCCCTGCAGTTTTGTTTCAAGAAGAAAAACTTGAGAGGTCAGCAGGAAATCAGAGGAATGAGATCCAAAGGTTAGAGAAGAGGATCAGAACCCAAATTTAGTGACAAAATCCAAAGCTTTGCTATGCAGTTCAGGTGGAAACGATGAAAACCATGCCCCGTTGCGATAGCTGAATCCTGATCCAGACTTCCGATATCCTGCAGATGCTCCAAATCAGTTCTCATGCTCAGACCATTAAAACACTAAGCTATTTGCTTCCATTTCCCTAGGAAATAAGTGGAGCTGTGCTGTAAGTCCCAATGCAGCGAGTTCTGCCAGTGTGATAGAGTGGGTCAGCATTTCCCCCCAGGGAGAGGGTGGTCCTGGGTCCCTGCTGACACACCAGAGCTGATGGTGGCAAACTTCAGTGGTGCTGCCTGCAGCAGCCTGAGTGAGCACCAGCTGGTGGGATATGTTGAAGGGGAGGACAAGGCTTTACGGGTTATATTCTGGCTGTTGTGGTGTATTCCAGGCAGAGACCTTCTGGGTACTTGGCTTGTGGAGCTGCTCTGGAAGCCATTGTCAGGGCTGGGCACCTTTGAAGTTTCCCCTGGACGTCAGCAAGGCACTGTCAGGACACCCTGAAGGGAAGAGACAGCATGTGTCGGGGAGGCTTTTGGCCCTGAGGGACCCGGAAGCATTGTCCACCAGGACAATGTAGAGGCAGTCTGTAGGCACTCAGATGTCAATGTTTCACTTGTCCAGCCCTCCTGGATGTAGATGTACAACTCCTCTGAAACAAAGCCAATGAGGCGAGAACCCTGCAGGGTTGTTTTTTCAATCTCATTGGTTTTTCCACCAATGTTATTCTTTCTGGAAGCCTGGGCCATGATTCAGAATGCTTGGGATGGCAGCATTGCCATGGCCATGGGAATGCAACTGATGAGAAGCTCTGTATGGTATTGCACTATTTGGTACTGGCCACCTCAGAGGCCAACAAAAAACAGGTATTTTGGAGAATGCAAGACCATCCCTGAGACTAAGACAGCCCCCAGGTCAGGTCTGACAGCAGCAGTTCCAGGTTATATGAGCTGGCAAAGGGTTAATCCTTTTTCCCTACTATCCAGCGACACAAAACCACACTCACCTTTTCAGACAATCTCTTCCAAACATGCCCCAAGAACGATTACTGTGTAATGCCTGATTAGGAACTTCAAGGTTATCTCATTCACACAAGAGTTTGCTGCTTTGAGCTCCTGGAAGCAAAACCAAGGTGTTTAATCTCAACCTTTTGTCTGTGGATATTTTGTTAGCTGTAATTCCTGCTGGGATCTTTCCCCTGCCATCCAGATCCAACATTTGTCCATATAGACTCTGTCCCAGCCCTAAATCCCCACACACCTCTTCCTTCCATCACAGACCCCAGGAAGGGGATGCTGGCTGGTGTAGGCACAGACAGCTTGCACACGGTTGGAACGGTAACAGTTGGTTCCGATTCCTCTGGCCACTACACTTTGCCATTGCTATGCTGGGAAGCGTCCTGCTGGGAAGCAGAAATATTCTGGGAAGTATTCCGAGAAATAAAACAACCCAGACTTCAAAGAACACAAAAGTGAGACGCTGGGTCAGATACGGACCTTCAGGTACGACCTGTCAGATACAGACACCTTCAGCAGTCAGTATTGGGAGAGGGAGGCACGGAGCAAAGCCATAGGACCCCCAGGCACAGCATAGGAAGAGGTGCTTGGGAAGCAAACCTCATAGGGTCTGTGTTCCAGATCACAAGTAACGGATGCTAAACCCTCGCCCCCAGTGTACAGGCAACCAACCCTCACCTCTTAATGCCTCCCACATGCTTAGAAGGAAGGCAGAAATTACAGCTGTCTCACCATGTGCACACCACAGGGTGAAACGCAATTCACCTTCCAGACTGAAAATGCCCTTTTCACATGTCAGCTCTGCTCCAGTGAAAATCTCTTAAAGGAGACAACCAAAACCAGACCCTCCCCGAGGTTAGAGCTCAGTGAGAAACAGGGTGGAAAAAAGGTACTGAGCTGGATGAGATTCATCCTCTTGTTATCTACCATCAAAGCACAGGCTGGTTTAGAAACAGCATCCCGAGCTGCAAAACACACTACAGGAAGTTTCACCTGCTGCTGGTGGGCTACAGAAAGGTTTTGGCCCGCTATACAAAAAAGACTGTAAACAGAACCTGGAGATATGTCAGCAAACACACCGCCACCAAGCAGGAGAGCTCAATGTCAAGTTCTAATTCTGAAATCATTTTTATTAGCCCAGATCTGTTATAACAGCGACCAACCTGGCCACAAGATCCTGGAGACTTTCTAGCCAGAGAAAACTTCAGTATAAAAAACCCCTATCACATAGCACATAAAACTGGAACATAAATGCTGCACTTTCATGTCTTCACCAGGATGTTTAGATTAAACTAGAACAAGCCCTGAATGCAGGGAGATGAAAGGAACCTAAACCAATTTTGGTCAGAGCAGCCCTCTGGAAGGCTCTAGTCTAACTCTTTACACAAAGCAGGACTACCCCCAAAGCAAGATCAGGTTGCTCAGCACCTTGTCCTGTTAAGTGCTGAAGCCCATCAAGGATGAGGAACCCATCAGCTCCCTGGTACCCATCCCAAAGCTGCACCATGCAAATGGGATGAAATTCCAAAACAGAATTTCCCTTGCTGCAGTTTGTGTCCACAGGCTCCTGCCTTTCCAATGTGCACACCTGACATAGCTACACATTAGGTAGCTGCAAACAGCAAGATCTCCCCTTCATCTTCTCTCGACCAAGCTGAAACCCATCTCTATCACCCCCTCCTCATGTGCTTTAGTCCCCAACCACCACATCTGGACTCTCCAATATGTCTATATCTTTCTTATGCTGGGGACCTCAAAATGCAGCTGTGACTTCCTAAGTCCCAAACAGAGATGAATAAACACTTCCCTCCACATGCTAGCTGCGCTTTTACTAATGCAGCCCAGTCTGTGGTTGACCTTCATGGCAGCAACATCTTCACAAGCGTGCATGCAAAACACTGCTAGAAACCTTGCAGAAGTCAGGGGACACAGCACCCACTGATCCTCCCCATCCACAGAGCCACTCATCTCACTGCAGAAGGTAATTGGTAAGATTTACCTTTAGGAAAACCACACTGACTGTTCCCAATGACCTTCTTGTCCTTTGTGTACTTTCACATCCTTGGACATGGTTTTGAGGAGGATCTGCCCCGAAACTTCCCCAGGGACTGAGGTGAGACTGGCAAGCCTGGCATCTCCTGGATCTTCCTTTTTTACCTTTTTGAGGACGGGTGTGACTTTGTCTTTCATGGCAACCATCAGGAACCTTCCCCAGCTGCCAAGAGTTTAAGAATCATAGAATGGTTTGGGTTGGAAAGGCCCTTAAGATCATCCAGTTCCAACCCCCCTGCCATGGGCAGGGACACCTCACACTAAACCATGTCAAAGACATGTAGACCATGTAAACCATTTTCAAATACAGTGTAGAATAGCCTTGAAATGACATCAGTCCAGCCCCCTCAGCGCCCTCAGGTGCGTCCTGTCTGATCTCAGGGTCATGAATAGCCAGTTCCCCTAAACAAAGTGGAATTTTACCTTCTTCTGATGTACCTTTCTCAACCGAACTCTGCCACAAGGCACAGAGATGAGGGAGGCCACGCTAGTGAAACCTTTGTCACCAGGACACCAACCCATTTGCAGTGGGCAGTTTCCTGACTTCACCCCTGGGATGTTTCTATGTTCCTTCTGGGCAGCCCAGCCCCGCTTTCACTTTCTGTGCACTGAGGGTTTTCATTTGAGCTTAGTCATGAGTTCCCTGTTCAATCCACGCTGGCCTCCTGCCATGCTCGCTTGACTTCTGCAGATCAGGCTGGGCTTTTCTTCTGTTTGGAGAGGTCATCCTTGAAGATCCAGCAGCTTTCCTGGGCAGCTTTCCCCAGGAAGGCAGCCTCCATTGCAATCCCACTGAAGTCCTCAATATGCCCAAGTCCTGGTGGCAGAACTGTTACTCTGCTGCTCGCATTCCTCACTTCTCTCAGATCCACCAAGCCATGACTCCAGCAGCCAAAGCTGCCATCAAACGCCTCCAACCAGCTCTTCCTTATACATAACCCACAGCTCAAACACCTCCCCTGCCTGGCCTGCCCAGCACTTTCATCAGAAATGAAATGATCATTAGACCTTACAGTGAGGCT